CTCCCCGCCTGTCCCTCCCCCCTCTCTCTCTCCCCCGCCTGCCCTCCCCCCCTCTCTCCTCTCCCCCCCCTGTCTCCCCGCCTTCCCCCCCCCCTCTCTCTCTCCCCGCCTGTCCTCCCCCCCTCTCTCTCTCCCCGCCTGTCCCTCCCCCCTCTCTCTCTCCCCGCCTGTCTCCCCGCCGATCCCTCCCCCCTCCTCTCTCCCCCGCCTGTCCCTCCCCCCTCTCTCTCCTCCCGCCTGTCCCTCCCCCCTCTCCTCTCCCCCCCCCTGCCCTCCCCCTCTCTCTCTCCCCGCCTGTCCCTCCCCCCTCTCTCTCTCCCCGCCTGTCCCCTCCCCCCTCTCTCCCCTCCCCGCCTGTCCCTCCCCCCTCTCTCTCTCCCCCCGCCTGTCCCTCCCCCCCTCTCTCTCCCCGCCTGTCCCTCCCCCTCCCCTCCCTCCCCGCCTGTCCTCCTCCCCCCCCCCTTCACTCTCCCCCCTGCCCCCTCCCCCCTCCTCTCTCCCCCCGCCTGTCCCTCCCCCTCTCTCTCTCCCCGCCTGTCCCTCCCCCCTCTCTCTCTCCCCGCCTGTCTCTCCCCCCCTCTCTCTCCCCGCCTGTCTCTCCCCTCTCCCCGCCTGTCCCTCCCCCCTCTCTCTCTCCCCGCCTGTCTCTCCCCCCTCTCTCTCTCCCCCCCTTTCCCCCTCCCCTCTCTCTCCCCCCCGCCTGTCCCTCCCCCTCTCTCTCTCCCCCGCCTGTCCCTCCCCCCCTCTCTCTCCCCCCTGTCTCTCCCCCCTCTCTCTCCCCCGCCTGTCCCTCCCCCCTCCTCTCCTCCCCCCCGCCTGTCTCTCCCCCCCTCCCCTTCCTCCCCGCCTGTCCCTCCCCCCTCTCTCTCCCCGCCTGTCCTCCCCCCTCTCCTCCCCCGCCTGTCCCTCCCCCCTCTCTCTCTCCCCGCCTGTCTCCTCCCCCCCTCTCTCTCTCCCCGCCTGTCCCTCCCCCCTCTCTCCCCCCCTCTCTCTCTCCCGCCTGTCTCTCCCCCTCTCCTCTCCCCCGCCTGTCCCTCCCCCCTCTCCCCTCTCCCCGCCTGTCCCTCCCCCCTCTCTCTCTCCCGCCTGTCTCTCCCCTCTCTCTCTCCCCCGCCTGGTCCCTCCCCCCTCTCCTCCCCGCCTGTCCTTCCCCCTCTCTCTCTCCCCGCCTTCCCTCCCCCTCTCTCCCCGCCTGTCCCTCCCCCCTCTCTCCCCCCCCTCTCCCCGCCTGTCCCCCCCCCTCTCTCTCCCCCCCTCTCTCCCCGCCTGTCCCTCCCCCTCTCTCTCTCCCCGCCTGTCCCTCCCCCCTCTCTCTCCTCCCCGCCCTTCCCTCCCCCTCTCTCTCTCCCCGCCTGTCCTCCCCCTCTCTCCCCGCCTGTCCCTCCCCCCTCTCTCTCTCCCCGCCTGTCCCTCCCCCCTCTCTCTCCGCCTGTCCCTCCCCTCTCTCCTCCCCGCCTGTCCCTCCCCCCTCTCCTCCCCCCTTCCCCGCCTGTCCCTCCCCCTCTCCCCCCTCCCCGCCTGTCCCTCCCCCTCTCTCTCCCCCGCCGTCCTTCCCCCTCTCTCTCTCCCCCCCTTTGTCTCTCCCCCTCTCCCCTCTCCCCGCCGTCTCTCCCCTCTCTCTCTCTCCCCGCCTGTCTCCCCCCCCTCTCCTCCCCCCCTCTCTCTCTCCCCGCCTGTCCCCCCCCCTCTCTCTCTCCCCGCCTGTCCCTCCCCCCTCTCTCTCTCCCCGCCTGTCTCTCCCCTCTTCTCTCTCCCCGCCTGCCCTCTCCCCTCTCTCTCTCCCCGCCTGTCCCTCCCCCCCCTCTCTCTCCCCCCTGTCCCCCCCCCTCTCTCCCCTCCCCGCCTGTCCCTCCCCCCCTCTCTCTCCCCGCCGTCTTTTCCCCCTCTCTCTCCCCCCTGTCCCTCCCCCTCTCCTCTCCCCCGCCTGTCCCTCCCCCTCTCTCTCTCCCCGCCTGTCTCTCCCCTCTCTCTCTCCCCGCCTGTCCCTCCCCTCTCTCCCCTCCCCGCCCTGTCCCTCCCCCCTCTCTCTCTCCCCGCTTGCCCCTCCCCCCTCTCTCTCTCCCCGCCTGTCCCCTCCCCCTCTCCTCTCTCACCCCGCCTGTCTTTTCCCCCCCTCTCTCTCCCCGCCTGTCTCTCCCCCCTCTCTCTCCCCGTCTCTCTCTCTCCCCCCCTTCCTCTCTCCCCCCTTCTCTCCCCCCGCCTGTCTCTCCTCCCCTCTCTTTCTCCCACCTCTCTCTCCCCCTCTCTCCCCGCCTGTCTCTCCCCCTCCCTCTCTCTCCCCCCTCTTTTCCTCCCCATCTCTCTCTCTCCCCCTCTCTCTCTCTCTCCCCCTCTCTCCCCGCCTGTCTCTCCCCTCTCTCCCCCCCTCTCTCTCCCCCCCTTTTCTCCCCCCCTTCTCTCTCCCCCCTTTCTCTTCCCCGCCTGTCTCTCCCCCCCTCCTTTCTCCCACCTCTCTTTCCTCCACCTCTCTCTCCCCTCTCTCCTCGCCGTCTCTCCCCCTCTCTCCCTCCCTCTCTCTCCCCATCTCCTCTCTCTCAGCTCGGGCTCCACTATGACAAAACTTTAAACTTTGATAAGACGTTCCCAATAAATCGCCCCTGAACCAGACGTATACACACCGAGATGTGTATATCTGTTATATCCATCGAGAGATATATATCTTTCATTGGATATACACCAACAGTTTATCTAACCTGGAGTCTACCTGGAGGTCATTCCAGGGATCAACGCCCCCGCGGCCCGGTCCACGACCAGGCCTCCCGGTGGATCGGGGCCCCTAATCAACCAGGCTGTTACTACTAGCCCACGTAGTCCCAACGTGAAAAAACCACAGCCCGGTTATTCGGCACCGACTTTAGGTATCGTTCAGCTCCCTCTTGAAGGCAGCCAGGGGTCTATTGGTAATTCCCCTTATGCTTGGTGGGAGGCTGTTGAACAGTCTTGGGCCCCGGACACTTATGGTGTTTTCTCTTAGTGTACCAATGGCGCCCCTACTTTTAATTGGGGGCATTTTGCATCACCTGCCCAGTCTTTTACTTTCGTAGGGAGTGATTTGTGTGTGCAGATTCTGGACCATTCCTTCTAGGATTTTCCAAGTGTAGATTATGATATATCTCTCTCTCCTGCGTTCCAACGAGTACAAGTCAAGTGCTTGCAAGCGTTCCCAGTAGTTAAGGTTTTTGATAGAACTTATACGTGCAGTAAAGATTCTCTGTACACTCTCTAGATCTGCAATTTCACCTGCTTTGAACGGAGATGTTAATGTACAGCAGTATTCCAGCCTAGAGAGAACAAGTGATTTGAAAAGGATCATCACTGGCTTGGCATCTCTCGTTTTGAACGTTCTCATTTTCCATCCTATCATTTTCTTTGCACCTGTGATCGTGGCACTGTTGTGATCTTTGAAAGTGAGAGCCTCAGACTTTACCATTCCCAGGTCCCTTACACTATTTTTCCACTCTATTGTATGGCCAAAGTTTGTAGTATACTCTGTTCTAGTTATTATCTCCTCCAGTTTTCCATAACGGAGTAGTTGGAATTTGTCCTCATTGAACACATTGTTTCCCGTTGCCCATTGGAAAACTTGGTTTATATCTTCTTGGAGGTTAACCTTATCCTCAATAGATGAGTCTCGTGCAGATCCTAGTATCATCTGCAAAGGATGACACGTGCTGTGGATTACAACTCTGTCTATGTCTGATATGAGGATGAGGAACAGAATGGGGGCGAGTACTGTGCCTTGTCGAACAGAGCTTTTCGCTATGGCAGCTTCCGATTTAACTGATGACCACTACTTTTTGCGTTCGATTGGCTAGGAAGTTGAAAATCCATCTCCCCACTTTGCCGGTTATTCCTTTAGCACGTATTTTGTGCGCTATTACGCCATGATCGCTTTCTGTTTTTCTTCCAGTGCATCCTGCGAGAGACAGGAGCGACCTGCCCTGTACCCATGTTGCCCTGTATTGTGCAGTTTTTGGTAATCCAGGTGGTTTGCAATCCTGCTTCTTAGCACTCTTTCAAAGATTTTTATGATGTGGGATGTTAGAGCTATTGGTCTATAGTTCTTAGCTAATGCTTTGCTGCCACCTTTATGGAGTGGGGCTATATCCGTTGTTTTAAGTGACTGGAATTTCACCCGTGTCTAAGCTCCTTCTCCATAGTGTACTTAGGACACGTGAAAGGGGTTTCTTGTAGTTCGTAATGAACAAAGAGTTTCACGAGTCTGGGCCCGGGGCTGAGTGCATTGGCATGTTGTCAATGACTTTTCCGAAGTCTATCGGAGTTAGGGTAATGTCGGAAATCTGGCATACATTGATGGAGTTTTGAGGCTCATTCATGAAGAAATCATTTGGATTGTCGATCTTCAGACTGATTAGTGGCTAGTCGGTCAAATCATACCACGGGTGGGGTTAGAACCCGCGATCAGTCACAAAACTCCAGACCGTCGCGTTAGCCACTGGGTCAGCTAGCTACAATAAGATTCATCCAACTAGCTGGTCCATTGGCTAACGCGACGGTCTGGAGTTTTGTGACTCTGATCGCGGGTTCTAACCCCACCCGTGATATGGTTTGTTTGCAATCGTATCATTACGATTTCGTGAGTCGAGAGATATCGATCTCTCTAGTGTACTTCGCAGTGTGTATAAACACTGAGAGTTTAATCTACTCTTCACAGAATCAAAGTAATGACGGTGTTAGTGTATGGATGATCTGGCGACCCACTTAATGAATACAACTATAATCCAACCAGTTAATGTAGTATTACACATCTTAATCCGACATTACGAAGGTGGCTGAGGTTTCATACATCCTGATCTGACATTACAAAGGTTTCTTTCATGCCTTGAAAGCTGCAAAGGTAAGATGTAATGTTTGTCTACCTGGCCCTCACACTTACAAACAGTGACACGCTAGTGTACGTCAACAAGAACATTGCTTGTCTCTCTCTCTTCCCCGTACATACGCACGAGACTGTACTAATGTGCGAGTGTCTCCCGTAGATTCGTCGTGGGTGGAGTTCGTGGAGCACCCGGTGATGAAGGAGACCAAGGACCGCTCGGTCTTCATTCACGTCGACATACCCGGCCAGGAGGACGGCGCCCCGGACCTGCCCAACGAGTGAGTACTTACTGCGTTGCTTCTCTTACTCATTACTCACTAGTGAAGTCTTCTTACCTGAATATGAATATACTCATTTATAAGATGACCCTCACCTCTCCTGATGTGTCTGTAAATTACTTTCTTCTGCCCTGAAAGATGTTTCAGCTTATTATTCATCCATTTCTAATTTTCTTTATACAGGTATCAAAGCTTATTGCTTGGGTAGCATTGGGAATGGGTTGGGTGAATATTTTTGTTAATGGGTTTGGATTTTACAAGAACGTGCCCAGTATGGGCCAGTAGGCCTGTTGCAGTGTTCCTACTTTCTTATATTCTTACAAACAAAACTCCTGTGCGGTTTGTGGCGCTCTGTTGAGAGGTGGATGATGAAATCATTGGAGGCTGAGACATTGTCTCAGTAAGAAGACATAAACCGCATACCGTGTCTTAATAACATACCTGTGAGTACATAACACCGGTGATATACACGAAGGTATTAATTAGTACTGATTTGTGAGTACCAGTGGTGATTGTGTCCTGCAGTGCAGACCAGAAAGTTATTTGTGAGTACCAGTGGTGAGTGTGTCCTGCAGTGCAGACCAGAAAGTTATTTGTGAGTACCAGTGGTGAGTGTGTCCTGCAGTGCAGACCAAAGTGTTGTTTGTGAGAACCAGTGGTGAGTGTGTCCTGCAGTGTAGGCCAGTGTTACCTGTGAGTACCAGTGATGACTGTGTCCTGCAGTGCGGGC